AGTAATAATAACATCTTCAATAAATTAATTTATATAATTTGCTAGTGTATATAAATTGTTTTCGACAATATTTGATCATTAAATTCGTCTGTAATGCCCTGTTATAATCCAGCATATTAAATAATTACATGAAGTTGATACATGTACAAAGTAGAGTTATGACTAAACGTCATTAAACATTAGTTGTATTCGTGTGTGTCCCTGTTCAGGAATTAACCTTAATCTCCACTTATATTCTAATCTATTGTTTCAGGAGAAACATGCATTCATTTTACATAGCATATGGTTTTATAGCCAATAGATGTGTAATTATAATGCATATATATAAAATTATATATACATGTATGCGTGTTTGTGTGTGTGTGCGCGCGTTGTGTGTGTGTGCGAGAGAGAGAGAGAGAGAGAGAGAGAGAGAGAGGGTGTACGATGTTGCAATGCTGAATGTCAGGTAATCCTTTTTCCGTCTCTATTAGGGAAAGAAGTGACATTTGCTCCAGCCATTGGCCGTCATCAGTCGGTAGCATATGGCGAAACGTTATACATTGGCCTTAATATCCGCTTTCTTCCATTTCTGCTTGTAAACAGTATTTGATATCTGTCGTGGTAAATGTCAACCGATCTCGTGACTCAGACAACTTCTCCAAACCGATTCTGTTGTTTATCTGCAGCTATTTATTCCGGTGCCTTCCTGCTGCCAATTCTGTAATCTAAACATTAAATTAAAGATACGCAGCGTGTCGTATATCCACATACATAAAACATAAATAAGAAGGATTCCAAAGGACAAAAATATATACACATATGTGTAGGCTAGATCGATAGTGCTGCCCGCATTTAATCGTTTCAGATGCTTCATTTCGGGGTTGCAATCTCCCGAGTGCAGTATAAGGGCAACCACAGTCGTTTCAAATTAAATGTAAATGTCGCCATTCTAAATTAAACATCACAAACCAGGGTTTATTTGACAATGAAGAGGCTGTGAAAACATCGCATTGTCACCCCCCTATTGTTTATGTATATATGAATAATATTGATATCAGCTAGATTTGTGTTGTGTATGATGACGCCAGCTGCTGTAGTCTGGTGGTCAGGGGTCAAATCTTATCTGTCAGTTCCCTCATGTGGACAGTGTAGTGGACACGCTTCACTAAACTTCGCACATGTGTCGGCGTATCTGACGTGTATAGAAGGATCAATTGTCATAGGCCGTGTATATTACATGACGCCACAAGGACAAAACTCTCATATCCACCTCTCTCTCTGTTCTCTATCTGTTCATAAAATGTCCTTTTCATATTCAGATCCGTGATTGTATTTCACTACCACAGCGTGAAGAAAATAGATGAACACTCAAACGAATATTTCATTGTGTATATAGCACAATATGTGCTGTAATTATTCTACTGGACTTATTATGAAAGCGTTGATTTTCGAATCGATTTTATATCTAGTATGCTTATGTTAAATGGACAATGCATGACGTGAATATTGTTAATTAAACTATAACCATTTGGGGTGAGTGAGGGTGAATGAGTTAAAATTTACAACGGCAATGTTTCATCTATATCGTGACGAGAATTTGAATATAAATACTAAATATAGCTTCAGTCAGAAACCTGTAATCGATGGACAGTATGATAACTACATAAGCCCAGCTACAATTTAAAACTTGTTGAAACTTAGTTTAAAAAATACATTATTAATCTACAGCACAATATAAAAATGCCAGATCGCCAGTGACTGGGATAAATATTTTCATCACAATTGCATTGTAAACCATTAGGAGCCATTATCAACATCCTTGTGAATATGACTTCCGTTATCATACAGAACTTGTAAAAATATTTGTCCATTATATACATTTTATCACATCATACTTATAAGATCGCTTAAGAACAATCTCCTTAAGTACATCGAGCTTATAGGTATATTTGATCATTCATACAACATATATCGAGACCTATAACACTGAAAGACATAATTACAAATGAAGATCCACACTCGAGTAAGCTAGTTCTATTGAACAAGGGCGTCCTCCGTGTTGCATTACCACAAATACGCCGGTCTATCTAGCCGGCAAACACCCTGATTCAGACAGACAACACTCAGGCGAATTTCGAATTTGTGTAAATTTTTGGATTATGTTGTCATAGCGAATAGCGCGCTCTGTCAGATGAAAGTCGTTGGTGTTTGAGGCGTATGTCATGGATTTGTCCCGACTTTCCAGGTTTAATACTACAGAAACCGCTCTTTAAGATGTTCAGTATTACGTGTTTCCTGTAGATGATGAACCCTATCTCCACGTTAATCTCCTAAGACACTGCCCAGAGATAACTGGGCCTAGGGATGTTCAAATGTTGACGGCCATGTGAAGCGTTTGTTTCACACATATCGCATGGAATGTGAACCTATGGCATGATGTTTGATAAAGAAATTGGATTATTAAAGCGTACTTGTAAACTCACGTTGTTTCTGCAAGGTAATACTAAACAATAAATGAATAAAACACTTGAAACTTACATTGTCTGTTATCTTTTTGACAAGAAAAACATTTTAACATGCTAAAATACAGCATTCGTACAGATCCCTTCATTGTATAATTGTATGATGAAGATAAGTTGCTATTTCTTATGAATGATATTTAACTTCTTCAACACTTCTAAAGATGGTTGAAAATGGAAAAACGATGTCAGAATATATAACTTATTAAGTCTGACTTAGATTACTAGTGCTGTAGTATTCTATAGCTGTAAAAACGCTTGTGTGTAATATTGACAGATGATACCTGGACATATTGTATATCATGTGCATATTTTGAGTAAAGTATGTGTGTACAAGTGAATGTAAAACTGTTAACAACTTGATCTAATTATTACTTCTCCCGGCTGGTACTGCTACCTATACTACAACTGCAACAGCAACAACAACAACAACGACTACGACTACTACTACTACAAGAACTAATCCCCTACTACTACCACCTCCCCTATTACTACTCCTCCTCCTGCTATTACTACTACTACTACTCCTACTAGTACTACTCGAACCAACCAAACTACTACTATAACCTCCCAACCACTACTCCTTCAGAGACAAACTATCCCAGTCTTGCTGTCAGGGAATTAAGAACTCTTTCTGCATCAAATATGTTCAGCAACATTACAAAATACCATCGCTTCATCTGTTTCATTACCTAAATGTTTCATAATCTTATACTTTAGAATACTGTTTTTTCGCATACAGTGTCTAGCATCAGAAAGTATACACTTGAAAATTAGATTTGACGTTTTCATTGATATGACGCATTTAATATCACAAATGATACCCTATTAAATACTTTATGTCACATGCATTTAAATATTCATGGCTACCTGCACAGAACACCTATAGTTTTTCTCTCTCTACATCACCATCAAATAACGATTTATTTGTTTGTTTCATTACTTTCATCTTTAGTGGCAATCAAACACGATTGTATACATTCTTTTGCCAGGCAGTTCAATTAAAGGATAACGACTGCAGCTTGCTTGAAGTCGGGCCATATTTTCTTGTCAACAACAAATTACATAATGACCTTAAAATTATCGCGACCATAAACAGCCATTACTTCTTTGAAATAATTGTTCCTAGTTTTGAGAGAAAACATCTACTGATTTATTTTTCTTCATTTCATTGTTGTTGCAATCTCACTGTTTTCTAAATCCAAGTTGTTGAAGGAAGGTATTGAAACACAAACTGGAAAAAATGTAATGATAATTTTTGACATTTGACATCTGACATATTTTTTAAAATTGTTTGTTTTTCTATATTATTTTTGGTCAGAGATGAATGTTTCGTAAAACGAGTCAATGCAGTAATATAAAAAACAGGCTTGGTGTAGTAAACTATTAAGTTATTCATGATTAATATTCAAAATTCTCTTTTTACGATTCCATAATATTATTTCGAAAAAGGATGAATTGTGACTTTTAACACGGATGTATTAATCTACAAAACGAATAATGTTCTGTCAAGGGAAAGGAAACTTGGTTCATTGATAAATAACGCACGATGCATTATCTTTTTATTAGATGTATTTATCACTAATCGGTCGGGTAGAAGAGATGGAATTGTCTGACACAGATCTAGCATAAATACTGTGGATATGGCATACTCTTTGAGATTTGGCTAAACCGGGTTTTTTTTAAATATCAAAGACAAATTTTGGAACAAATTCCCCACGACGAAGTAAGTTTCAATTTTAAAGAACCATATAATACAAAATGCGTTATTTTATTTAAACTTCAAAACATTTAACATGTTTCAGTCTAAAGGTTTCCTTGTGTATATTTTGAAATCAAATACCTACACAGTGGCAGACAATTCCGTCTTGCGATTTCATGAAAACATTATTTATTGCAGAGAATCATGAAATTACAAAACTGTTTGCAAAAGAAATATTGGTATTGATTTGAATCCTTATATTTCATCAACACATCTAGAAGGGCCAGGGAGACGAAATGGTTTGGGCTTGGTGTCATGTGTAACACCAACCAAACCAAGCATTCAGTTTTGAAAGCAGGGTTACATTTGATAAATATAGTCTAAGCTTGATGTCATCTATTGGAAAAAAGGCCTCTATCTTGTCCAGGAAGTTAATTTGTGAAGATATCGGTAGAATCATACAGACAATTCTTGTTTGTTGTCTTCTTATTGTTAAAAGGAAAAAATATCTTTTGTATTTTCAAGGTTTACATGTAAACCTCACAGCGACAAATGTCAAGTTGAGATTTAATGCTGTGTGTCTGAACGATGCTATCTAAAGAATTTGAATTACCATCTTGTCTAATTTTCCGTAATATTTTACGATAGGCCTTACGGTGTTAAAAATTACTTTTAAAAACAACCTTTTTTTACTCTTTTTTATTGAATCAATTTGCAACAGATGCCACGTAAAAAGCTTGTTCTTCGCGTACATATGTCAAAGGGGACAATGGCGAAGGGGAGGATTTGATTTTCTGTCCGGCCTGAAGACGACCAATTCAAAATGGCGGCTGTTGTCGGTATTGCGTGTGACTGGCTGTGGCTGTTGCTCTCGGGGTAATTTGTCTTAGCTTAGCTAGAGTTTGATCAATACCCGACTCTCCCCCCAATTTGTCAGCCTACACAACGTCAAGCTCTCCATACTAAACAAATATCTTGTATTCATTTATTACTCTAGAGGCACCCGACCAGAATATGTATATTGCATTAGTATTTGAAGATAGTTGTTGATTACGTGGACTGTCGGGCTGGGTGCCTAGTGACCAGTCATTGTTATCCTAATCAACAGACCGAAGCCCGAACGTCAAATTGTGTCTCTCTCTATGGTGGAGTCTCATCTTTTCCTGGTTCAATGGCAGTGCCCGTCCTTCGTCTGATACGAATGCGACCCTGCACCTTTGCATACTCAAACTTGTGCACTTTGCTAATTAACAATTGATAACAAGGCGACGCCCTGCGTTAACGGAATATTGAATTTATTCTTTTCAGATACCTATTGAGAGAAATGCGAGTCACTCACCTACAGACTATAAATTTCCGGTCTCTAATTGGTTGATTAACTCCGAGGTAAAAAATAACAATCCCACGATCGCGTACACAAAGCCCGAAGTAGATGTGTAGGTCAAGGTCACGAGAGGACTGGCTTGTGAGCCGAGTTAGTGGAACAGCCTTCACATCCATCATTGCAGGGCCCAGGGAATCAGATAGATGGCCTGTCAGTCATAAGCTCCGCCCACCAGAATGAATGACAAGTTGGCTGGGGGCCAAAAATGACTGACGATCCTGCCACATAATTACATTCATTAATTGATATGTAAAGTGAGAAGCATGCGGCCGGGGTGTGAGAGAGAGTGCTGTTCCAAGTGTCATTGGTATCTTCAGCCTATATTCTCTCCCCAGCTCTTGTCGTCTGCTGCAAAGGACCTTCTCGTCTGCTTGCTTACTCAGGCGGGAAGGTCCGCCATTGCAACAGACGAGCGGGAAGGCGAGCTTGAGGCGTTGGATATAGGGTTACCAAGCATCTCGCTTGAGAGGTTTCTCTCGACCCACATCGACTAGCGGGGTCAGCGACTTCAAGGACCAGGCAAAACCAACCGGGTCAGCAAGCTTCATGGCGATGATCGATTGACCAAACACTCCGTAGCATTGTTTTAACAGACTGCACCTCATCTGGGGTAGTGACCCACTTGGTAAATGGAAGGGCATTGTTCACCGGGAAGAGAAGATAAAAGGTCTAACATTCTATACTGTGTGGCTGTGTTCCCAGCAACCAGGACCGTTACGTGAGGTTTTCAAGGCAAATGACTTAGAGCCTGTGGCCAGTGTTTGCTGGGAGTGCTGAGCCATTGCTCGGGAGCTGGGATAGTATTTTGAGTCAACATCTCTCCAACAGGCAAAGGAGGAGAAACGGGTGTCTCTCGCCTGGTGTAGAGAACATAACGTCATGGACACAGGTTTCACATTAGGACGTAATGGATTGTTTATCTGGGAAACCATCATTTGAATATGTACAAATGAATTTAACAGCGGTTTGACCTAGATTTTATGGTAAGTTTGTTCTTGTTTGTTGGATTCAATAAAACGTGAAGCAAATATTTTCTCTGTACTTTATTATGTGGTTTTATAATCATCATAGTATATTTTATCAGTGACCTATTTAACATGACAGTGGCAGGTTAGAACTCGATATGAGCACTGTAATACGACCTGTATAATAAATTGTATTTATTTTGTATAAATGACATCTTGTTTGCTACTTCAAATTAATGAGGCTTTTGATTATTTTGGTAATATGAACTAATTGACTAGTTAAATATGAACCTAAAATACTAACCATAATAAACACATGTAAACCTTTTTTTAAAAAATATCAGAGCTGTAACATTAAGATGACGGCGATTGTTTTAGTTGTTTTTAGAAATAAAAAATTGTATTTCTTCTAGGAGTGATGTTCTAGAATTGGTTTGGTAAGGGTTTCTGTTGAGCGGGTTGGTCATTTTCGCAGGTTAACAATACGGAGGATTGCCCAGTCACTAATGTCTGTATTTCACTACTGTTTCCCGGTCTCTAGCATTGGGCATCTGTTTACTATTTGGGTGTATCAATTTCCCGAACAGTTGTCAAATATGAATAATAACATTAACTCATATTTGAATGTTTAATCTCTAAATAAGTTTCTGTTTTATTTGGAACATATTTTTCATATTTCATTTCATTGAAAGGTGTAACAGGAATATAGCAAAATGGTTTATTTTCCCAAAACAATTCTTTGTTATTTCATTTTCTTTCCTTGGAATCAATGTAAAGTAGATTTATAAAACTGAGAATTATGACTTGGTCAAACATGTTTTGAGATTGCGAAAATGTTAGGGGACGTAAAAAATAAATGCAGCTATTTTAGCATGACAATAAAAGTACAAATTAATTGACAAACATTTTTCTTGAATGTGTCTGAAGTAACGACATTTGAAAAATATCACTGTATTAATTTTATTAAAGTCGTGTTAAAATACAGTTTTAAGGAAAATTATCCAAGGTCATATTTCAGTAGAAAAATAGAATACGCTGTTAATGCTGTGATCAATAATGTATTCGCCTCAGAAATTAAAAAAACAAAACCCCAAAACCCGCCGAGAAGCAGTGTTTTGTATTTTTACTGTATTTCTCAAATCAATATTACTTCCCTTTTCGGTTGTTTTTTTTTCAGACAAAATTTTGTGTTCGGAGTAAGTTTGCCAGTGCAACCTGCTTTTTATTTACTGGATAACATTGTTGGGTCTGTCTCCTTTTCTGCGTATCTGTTAAATTTTTATTGTCAACTCAGATTTGAAAATGACATATTCCAACTGCAAAACTGTAAAATTCAACATTGTTTTTAGTTCTTTAGGGTTGTCACTGTCAAAAACAAGCAATGGAAATTTACGTGTAATGAATGCAATGCAATACAACCATCAACAGGATATATTTTAATGCTAAATGTGTGTATAGAAGAAAGAACCAGTTTCGGAATATCTTTCGTGATGCGAGTTTTCAGATATTATGCTTTTTTCTTTTACTCACTTTCCAACCTTACAAAATGTTTGATTGTTACTTAAATATGGGGTATAACGTGTGTTAAATTTAATTGAGAACATGTTTAATCTTTTTGATTTATATTATAATTCGAGTTTAGATAATGTAATGATTTATACTTATTTAATTTTATGAATTTTGCATGACATTCAATATATCTTGGTCATATCTTATATGAATGTGCTCTTAAAATTTACACTTCAAAACCAGTATTATTCAATCCATAAGTGGATCATATCTAGTTACTGTACAGATGGGAGGGAATGTTGTGACGAGGTATATTCGTCTCAACAAAAGGATGTTATCAAAACACCTGACGATAAAAATAGGTGAAATATTGTCAGCAAAGAAGCCTCAAATGTTTCAGTGTGTGAATATCGCACAAACTATAAATGTCAAATAAAGTGACCGTATATTTTATGCGCCCTGAATAGATTTTGCAATCGTAGACACAAAACATAGTCTACGATCATCTGTATGAATTATTTTCAAAATGACATTGTATCATCGACGAATATATATATACTGACGAAAAATGAACAGTAAGATAAATTGCAGTATCATTCGATGATGTAATTTAAACTGTCAAAGTTTAGGCGTTCTTGCGTTTATGCTAGTGACTGTTATTTGAAACAAATGAGTTCAATGACAACAGAAGCGATATATTAAAAAAACATGCACGATCAATATAAAAAATGGAAAACACGTGCTCACAATAGATGTGAGAATACCGGTATTTTTTATCATTTGCTAAGTAGACTTTGTATTTTTTTAACTTTTGCAATTTTAAAGTGTAATTGTCCTGTTATAAAATGAAACGTATCTTTTGCAGTTTGTTTTTCGCTGTCAGGTATTAAAGCTTATGTATCTATTTTTAATATATTGTTGAAAGACTATTTTGTGTGGATCGTGCTTCACCGGTGTCTATTCTAGGTAGGTTGTAAATAACAATGACGTCATTGTCGTCCACCACACTCAGTCGACGAGAATAATAGAACAGTTGGTATGCATTTGTTTATCGGATGCTGTTGAACAATGCACTGGAGTAATGAGTGTGACGATGTAGGGGTAGACGACGTTGTTGATGATGAAGGCTGCAGTACGTCACTCACAATCAGACAACCACTGTCGTCGTACGAGCAGAAAATTCGATCAAACGTACTCCGTATTTGATTTGAGTACTTGTTAGAACGGGCGTTAAAATGCCAAGCTACAACGAAGGCTTGTTCGGCGAAAGCGATGCGGACCCATCGTTTTGGTAAACGATGGCACCGTTACCAGGGGTTCTTGAACATACATCTCGGGAGAGTCCAAGGAAGCGTCTATTGTGTCAGAGTGAAAACTTAATGATAAAACATTTCGACAAAATGAAATATTCTGACTTACCAGGTGTTCGAACAGTCGAAATTACCACGAGGCTTTGGCTTTCAAGTGCATTATTTCGCCACGAATAGCTGCAAAATTGCTCCTGCGGCGATAAGTAATATTCACTCACTTCGTGTGTGTTGTAATATCGTACGGTTAGTTACGGTTCTGTATTGTTGTTCCTGTAACTGCAGATGAAGACGTATTACAAAACAACCAACGAACGCCGGGGATAACCAATGACTGAGATTAACACCATACGCACACGCACCTGCACACGCACACATGTGGCAAACGTCTAGATTACTACCGTTTCTGAAAATGAAAAGTCTCTGGGCTATTATTATATTGCATTAAGGTATTTTCACCACCGTCAATTTTTTGTAAAATATATTCATCTACATGACTATATGTTAGAAGAGTAAAGATGACATACAACATCCGACTGGGTCTTGATTTTGACACCGTGTGAATATGCATGTATTCAATGTTAAATGTGTGAATATGGAGGGATGGACCGATATCAGATCGAGTATTTCAGCAACGTCAGTCGTGAGCAACCCAGGTATTTGTGAACATATCTTACTTGCAAATAACCTGTGGACGTGCAGTCCTGAATCACTTTGTCATGAGTCTCCAAATCCTGGATAACTCAATTTCCATATTGATATATGTCAAGCAGTCTTGTGCGTTCTAATCAGGCGCCAACCCTCGCTCCCCACCCCACCCGTACCTCTCCACCCCAACCTTTCCCCTTCAACTCATCCCTCGCTCTCCACCCCACTCGTACCTCCAACCCCACCCTTTCCTTTAACTCATCCCTCGCTCTCCACCCCATCCCCTCTCCACCCCCCACCCTGTCCCCTTCCTTATCATCCCTCATCCCTTCCCACCCGTACCTCTCCACCCCACCTTCATATCATCCGTACCATCTCTCCACCCCACCCTTTCCCTCTCGCTCTCCTCTCCACCTTCATATCATCCCTCGCTCTCCACCCCACCTGTACCTCTCCACCCCCTCACCCTTCTTTCCCTTCACCCCTCGCTCTCCCCCACCCGTCCTCCCACCCCCACCCTTTCCCCTTCATATCATCCCTCGCTCTCCACCCCACCCGTACCTCTCCACCCCCACCCTTTCCCTTCATATCATCCTTCGCTCTTCACTCTGTTCTTGGCTCCCCATGCCTCCCTTTTCTCTCCATCCAATTCCCAACTCTCCACCCCAGAGCTCGTTCTCTACCCTCCGTTCCCTGGCCATCCCACCCCTCGGTCTGTACCCCTTTCCTCGCCCTCACCTGTTCACGTTGTGTGGGGTTTGACAGCCGCACGGAGGTACCTAACAACTATTCCTTCTCAGCATGCTCAACATGGGGACCAACACACGTGTCACAAGAATGTTTTTATGAGATTTTTATGACGAGATTAACGGTCGATAAAGTTCCCTTTGCATCCTTAAATTGCAAATTTAGCCGACGAGTCCCCCAAACACTGCAGACACCTTCTTTTGACACGCCTATAGCACAGCTCGATAACAACAGTGTTATACGGGGAAGACTTATAGGCTGTATAACGAGAACACCCCGCGTATGTACCAAATTGCAGGGACAAGGGTACAAACTGTCCTAAATAACGATATCCCGTAATCACTGACATCGAAAATCGACATGTATTTCTATAACCCGACCCTCGTTGGTTATGCGTCAATAAACCATTGATTATTTAGATAAAGTTTTATTTTAACCCAAACAAACAAAACAAACAACGACAACAACACAACAAAAACAAAAGAAAAAGCCCAAACAAACCGAAAAACCCTCAAACAATAAATGATATGCGAACACTATAATAACGGGAAACAAAATACAACATGTCAGTTTTAGCGTATATGATATTTGAGCATGGTAGTTTGAAGAAATGCCCACAAAAATATCTATAAACTGCTGGGCCAAAAAATTACTTACCTGAAAAACCTGATTCAATCCAAAAATATAAACGTTATCAAAACTGCTAAAAACGGTCGCAGAAGCATAGCACTATTCAAGGTCCAAAATACAGCTATGATACCCCAATCAAATACAACACCATCAAATGTCCATTTCTTCCAGGTTTTATTTCCACCCATTATCAGATACGGGTGTATACTTTCTTTTGTCCAT